TGATGAGTGGTGTCTGATGAGTGGTGTATGATGAAATGTGTATTGATGAGTGGTGTATGATCAGTGGTGTATGATGAGTGGTGTATTATGTGTGGTGTATTGATGAGTGGTGTATGATGAGTGGTGTATGATGAGTTGTGTATTGATGAGTGATGTATGATGAGTGATGTATGATGAGTGGTGTATGAGTGGTTCTTGAATGTCCGCAACAAGGAAATTTCGTTCACTAAACTTCCTTTGATCAATAGAGCATAAAGACTGTGTAGTTGCTGTGATCTTGTGACTCTCATAGTCTACTAGTGAGCCTCTAGTACGGCTTTTTATAACCACCTGTCTGAGTCTTAGGAGATTCACGATCTTCTGCAATGAAAATGATATGTGCTCGTTGACTGCTCTTGCCGGCATTGTTCCGATAGGATGCGCCCGGAAAGCCTAGGATCCGTAGTGGCCCTTTCAGTGGCCAGAATTTTGCCCAACATATTGGCGATTCAGTGTTCGCGCGACCTTGTTAAGTTCTCTACAATCACCTGTCATAGGTTTAGCGGCGCGTGACGCGCAGTGTGAGTGCACTTGTGTTCTACTCTGAAGCCAACTATAGTTGACCAAGAACGCTACGGTAGGCCGTATGCATCTTGGGATCACACGCAAAGTTATCCTTGAGATGTTTTTCATCAAGAGTGGTCAGTCCTTCTGACATTCGATTTCGGTTTTCTTTGACACCGCTAGCGCGGGCCTTCGTCTGTTCGGATGCGTAGAGCATATAGGTACAGGGATCTGGAATTAGGCCGTAACTGTTGTCGGTGCATTTTTGAGACCATATCCTTGCTTTTTGGAGGATACCTTAGCTCTGACGGGATCTGTCACATGACATCACGAGACTCGTCCTACGCTTCTCCCCTATGAAACAGCGACCAACGTCTGTTAGCAGCAACTTGGGCTACGCAGCGAAAACCTGATCTAGATGCTGCTGGTAAGTCGGCCTGTTGTTGCTGTTTCTGCTTGTTTTCAAACCCTCTGGGAACCCATCTGGCCTTGCGCTTCAAGAAACTACCATCCTTGTCTCGCTTCAAGGTTAGGGCCCATCTCCCGGACGCAAAATTGCGAACTTGCAGTTTTCTAGCATCGAGAAGGTCATAGACGTCATTATCGATCCATGACAGTGTTTCTGCCGGCTGGCTTCCAGGACTTCCTTGGCAAGTTCGCGTTTCTCTCGTTGAGTTGCTGCCACGCGTTTTTCCTACCAAGTAGGCAAACTTATCATCAGCGGATTCGAAGAGCGTCAAATATGCCTGGTCTTCCTTGCTTAGTCCGGATAGACTTCTTCAATGCCTGATCTGTTTTGTGGTCGCGATTCACCAGTAGTGCGGCTTAGCGTGTATATCCACATAACGGCCATTACCTGCATGTACAAACGTTGACTCAACTCCGGGAATATCAACAGGTGCATGGTTGATGTTTCTTGTTAGTGTGACCGAAGCAGTATTGGCACAGGGCTTGTGCTCAGCTGTAAAAGTGCGCAGTGTGTTCATCAATACACAAGTCGTTGTAGTCAATCGTTGCAGTTTTTATCTCATTTTCTTCTGTTTCATTGTCTTCTTCACCAGTTAGATACTCTTCTTCGTCTTCAACAGGTTTTGGCATTTGTGTTGGGTCTCCAGGCATCGCTTCACCATCACTGTCTGCTTCTTCAGCCGGAATCGACTTTGAATAACATTGTGCTGGTGATCGGTTGCAACGCTGGTTGTGATGAGCGTGAAGTCGAAAAAGCCTGCAAACCAGCTTGGCAAACAACGGAAAGCGAAACGTGCGATCCCTTTTTCTGGCGGGCAGTGAGTCAACCGCGGCGTCGACCCTCGCTGCACCTGGCAACAGGAATGAATGCACACCGGTTGGGGAACGGTGCGAGGTCAGTGGATCTGAATGGTGGAAGATGGCTGGGATCGTGAATAAGACACATTATACTCATGCCTGTGCACGTGGCGCAGGTGCGCGTGTGTGACTGCACGTGTCTTCTTTGGTATGTTAAGGTTGACATTCCTGTTAAGGTAGTCCTGCAGGGTGCATTGAGAATTGAAGGTGCCACGGTGGAAAAAGCAAGGGCAAACAAGTTACCTCTGTGGGTCCCGTACCAGGCCTGGCTTGGGACCTACAGAGGAGTCGTGCCTGCGTTGGTCGAAGTGAGAGGTCTGCCTGGCGAAGCGGCAGCGAGTGAAGGCTCAAAAGCATATCAAGGATTTGGAAACCTGACGTGCCCCAGTGGTCTGGGGATATCTTATCATTTCAAGAACATGCTTTTGTGTAGGACGACGTTCACTTAGCAACATGAGACTTGGTCTGCGCTGGCAAGCACGCAGCACGGTGAGCGCAACTCCATTTTCCTGTACAAGCAACTGTGACGGTGTGGGATGCTGTGTCCATGCGGACGGTATACCTCGAGATGCTTTTCAATCAATGGTTGTAAATCCGGGTAAGGTGACTAAAGCTGGCAGAGGTGGGGAAAGGTTACTGAATATGAAAGGCTTGCCATTGTCATCTGGACTGTATGGCCTACCGTCGACGCCAGCGGGGCTGAAAGAGGCAGCCAGGTTTAAAGGGCGCCTTTCTTTCAGCGTAGCTGTGGGTAGTACTTGCGCTAGGCTGGCGGAAACACGTAGATTACAAGGTGTACGCGGCTGGTGGCGCACCTGGGCTCTGTGCATTGCAGCCGGCTGCCGGCGATGATTGAAAAGGGCGCCGCGCCGCGAGGAGCAGCTCAGGGTGTGTGTCCTCACTCTGGCAAGTCCTCTCCGATGTGGGCAACATGCCACTGGATCTCATTCTCGGCTTGATCACGTTCCCAAATGCGAGGGCGCAGGGTCCAGTATCGTAGCTTGTTGGCGTTGGCGTTGAGAGCTTCCAGGAAGGCAGCCTTGCCTTCGTCTCCCGATTCACAGGCGGCGAAGAGGTTGGATAGCTCGTCCACGTTGTTCGGGAGGAAAGAGAATTCGGAGCTCCATAGAGTGCAGCGCAAATTGGCGGTGTCATCACGTAAGGTGATTGGCAGACGCATTCGATCACCGGCCTGACCGACCCACAAGGATGCGGTGAGAATCTCATCGGTGAAGGGCAGCATCATGGCCATCTGCTTGTTTTACGTCCGCCACGGTGATCGTGGGGAGGGTCTCGCTGCGCAAAGCCTTCTTGGGAGGACCCTTGGTTGCCTCAGGTAGCTTCAGCCATCCTGGGTCTTCCAAGTACCAGCTCAGACGTGTAGTTTCCAAGGTGAGAAGGCCTTGGCATGTGCGCTTCTGCACGCTGTAGATCACAAGCTTGGTGTGAGGCTTTGGCATTGCGCGTGTCATGTCGCCGAGCACGGTGATTGTAAAGTGCCACTCACCGTTGGTAAGCTCAAGCCTTCTGCGGGGAATGGTCGGAGTCGTGGTAGGTTGAGGTGGCTCCACATGGTGCACCCACCCTGCGAGGTTGAAGATGAGGTCATCTGGTAGCTGGTCGAGGTTAGCTGGGTCAGCCATTGCGCGATCGGTCACAGCAGACAGTGGAAAGGATGCGACAGCTCGCTGAAGATTTTGGAGTCTGAACTGAGTCCGAATGAAGTGGTTGTTCTGGATTCCAGTCTTGTCAGCACCTTGGTATGGTTTCAACACACCGCGGTTGATCTCAGCGGTGTGGTCCACGTACTTGGGCAAGTTCTTCCATTGGTCCGAAGCGGCTCTGGTGGCTTGAACTTCCATCTGCGCTCCGTTTTTGAGAAGGATCCTGGCGCAGAAAGTCTTTTCACGCCAGTCCTCAGTACGTGCGCTCAGGATCTGGAACAAGATGTTCTGTTTGTGCTTGAAAGGACTGATGGGCGGGTCAGGGGTTGTCTCAGGCTGCTTGAACTTCACCTCTTCTTTAAACTCGCCATGCTGCAGGGAATGCACGACAACCGCGCTCTGCGCTAGTCGGGGGTGCGTCTGACGCAGCACGCGGGCTGCGTCTGGACTGAAAACGGCGATGGATGAGTGGCTGGTGTGCGAGGCCAGCGTGTCAGAATACAGCATGTCTGATTTCATAGCACAAAAGACGTGTCGCATGCATAGCCGATAGAATGTATCAACGCATCGTCTGTCTGCATGGACCTTGCTGGATGCACAAGCTAACGGTCCCGTTCGGGCCTGACGAATGGAGAAGGGCGCAACGGAGTAGCTGGGTGACCTGCATCCGGGGTCATGGAAACACGAAAATGGTTGAGGAACCCCTTCCTAGGCGCAATACGACCTCATGACCGCCATGCCCCCTCCCCCATCCAATGCCCGAGTGCAACGGTGGCAGAGCGCAGCCCGCGCGCAATTCAAGGAGTTGTTCTTCTTCGTTGAGGGCGCGTCAAAGCGCAGCTTTGGCGTTGACAGGGTTGAAATTGTCAGAGGGCTCGGACTGGGTACGTGAGATGCACGCACAGCATCGCTTCGAAATCGTTTGCGATCATCGGTGTGGGCGTTGGCTTCATACTGTCCAGCTCATAAATAGTATCTTCATGCCACTTGAAAGCGACCCAGTGCATGTTGTCACGGTTTTGGATTGCACCCAAACACGCGCTCAGTTCAAGGCTGTGCTGAACACCATGGGGCCCCCCTAGTTAAAGAACTTATAACTTAAGATACCACACTTAAAAAAGTTATAAGTTAGTTATATTGAACTTATCATAACTTAGTAATAAGTAAAGTTGCGGAAGTTACTAACTTCTGTAACTAGTTTGAGCGTGAAAGATGATGAAATCTTTGCAAAAATGAAACTGTGTGCAAAAAACTTGCAAAACATAATTTTTCTTAAAAAACATAACAAAAACCTTAGAAAAATGACTACCGCCTAATGTTTCTATGCGTGCGGCATTCCGCATCAATGTATGTGTGTGGGCGGAATACCGCCAAAATGTGTGCGTGTGTCCGTGTTGTGATGTGGGCGGAATGCCGCCAAACGAACAAACCGCAACAAGGCGGAATGCCGCCAAACAAACAAACAATCAAAGAACGGTCATATATATTTATTTATATACATATATATATATATAGGCGGAATGCCGCCAAACTTAAAGAACAATCATAAAGGCGGAACGCCGCCGCAAAAGAACAGCCATATAGGCGGAATGCCGCCAAACAAAGAACAGGTTAATACCTCTCTAAGGTACTAAATCAAAACATCCAAAATCGGAAACCCAGATACCACCGGATACCACCCAGATACGACCGGATACCACCGGATACCACCCGGATACCAACGGATACCGGCCGGATACCGCCCGGATACCACCGGATACCACCCGGATACCGCCGGATACCGCCCGGATACTACCGGATACCACCCGGATACCACCGGATACCACCCGGATACCGCCGGATACCGCCCGGATACCACCGGATACCACCCGGATACCACCGGATACCACCCGGATACCACCCGGATACCACCGGATACCGCCCGGATACCACCGGATACCGCCCGGATACCACCCGGATACCACCGGATACCACCCGGATACCACCGGATACCACACGGATACCACCGGATACCACCCGGATACCAGCGGATACCACCCGGATACCACTTGTATATTTTTTGGCCTGGGCAGATGTAAAGACGGTACCAAAGCCTCTGGGAATCAAAGGGCTGATGCTAGAGCCGCGATGTTGCTGGAACGTGCGGCTGGGCCGCGTGCGGGGACCGCAAGGTTCCTGCGGCTTGCCGCATACGCAACATCCCTGCTCAACAAACAGGAAAAACAAACAACGTCGTGGAAACAGCTACGCAAACTCACGTCAACAAGTGCATGAACAGATCTTTCAATACAAAAATAGAGAAAACAGGTTCCTGCGGCTTGCCGTATACACAACTTCCCTGCATGCTCAACAACACAAAAAACAAGGAACACGGAAACCTCTATCCAAACCCACGTCAACGACTACATGAGCTTACAGCATCAAAAAAAATCAATGTTTTCATTAAAAATATAGGAAAACAGGTCCTGGGCATCATTTTTTCAGACATGTGAAAAAAGATGATTTTCAGACATAAAAAACTAACTTCCGTAACTTTTTTTAACTTACCGTGGTCCTTACTTACAACTAAGTTATAACTAACCATCTAAGATGTAACTTACATAGAACTACCGGTGAGACTTAATTTAGTTACACCAAGTTACAACAAGTTAAAACCATAGTTACACCAAGTTAAAACCATACATAGGATACTTACAAGTAGTCTAACTAGGGGGGCCCCTTGGTGAAGGGGGGCAATGTCCAACGTCCATCGGATACGATGGTAGGCTGCCATAGCTTTGGTTCGCAAAGCAGTGGCCAGGACTTCGCTGGAGTACCATCCTCCAGCTCGGACATGGTCGGCCAATTCATCGCCAATTTCGAAACCATCCTCTGACATGTACACCTGAGCAGCATAGGCCATGCGTTGTGGGGTAAAGCAGCGCTCACCCACTGCATTGTTCAGAGCGTGCATGCCGCATCGGGCAGCGTCAGGGTCTTGGCACTCAAAGAACATGGTGCGGGGCACAAGAGCTGGATGTGACCTTGGCCGTCTGCAGGGAGGCGGGCGCTCCGAGCGCGACGGTTCGGATGGTGTAGTAGAAAACATATCTTCTCCGGAGGGACGCAGACGACAGGGTCCTGCACAAGCGAGCGCATGTTTGCAGAGGTTGGGGACGGGGTGCTGCAGACCGCATTCGGACGTGAGGTAAACTGACGTGTAGGTATGGACTGAGCTAGATAAGACCATTTAAGAAGATATGAAGAGACATCTGTTTGAACAGAAAGCAATAGATATGACAGTGTGTAGATTTTTAAGGTATAGACTAGATATGCCCAGGTGTTGGTTTTCTGCGACGACAGAGGGGTCCTGTGGCAGTAGGCGTCGGAGCCGGTGGTTGTTTTCCATGGAGTCGACGTCTGGTGGGTTCGTGATGCTCGGCGGTTGCATAAAGGTTGGGCGGGTTGGACACGCGTGCTAGATGGCGCGCGCGCTGGTCAGCAGCGACGGTGTCTTCGAAGAGATGCAGGATTTCGTTGGGCAAGTGGCCTTTGAGGTGTCCGAGAGCCTCTCGCTGCATCTGCATGCTGGTTCGCTCCAGGCGAAGTAGCCGGTCGATCTCTGCAAGCAAATAGCCTGGGGGTCCACGTTCAAGATCTTGGTTGGTCGTGTTTCGGAGCAGCAGGATGCCCTCCAAGTGCGTAGCCCGGCTGAGGATGACGTAGTTTGCCAACCAATGAACATCTGGGCCCATGCGCGGCGGACAGGCGAGGTCCGCGAGCGCTGCTGGCCATGACTCGCCCTGAGCCCCGTAGACGACGCGCGCGGCGGACGGGAGCAAGGGGAACATAGCGCGGGTGATTCGGACCCCCCGGTCCGGCATGGTTTTGTCTTTGAAATTGAATGTCATTGAAATTGGTTTCAAAAGAAATGCACCGGCATGGCCATCAGCATCCAAAACAGGGTCGCAGCAGGAAGCAGGGAGCTTCCAGGTAGCTGACACTGCTCGAACTAACAGAGCTTCGGGCATGTAGCGGAGGACATTGAGGTCGCCAGGGTGAGGGCTTGGCTTTGTCCATTCTGGCATGGCAAACAAGATCTTGAGTATCTCGACCTCTGCGCCATTCATCAACCCAAGGCGCGCGCAGTCCTTGCAATTGTAGAGAGACAGACAAGCGCATGCCAACGTACAATGGAAGAATGCCAGGTAAGCGGCCAGTGTGGCGAGGATTCGCGATACCAAGGACGCGACGTCGTGCATCGCCGTCGAAAGTATGCTCATCAGCTGGCTGGACTTCGTCGCAAGCATGCAAGACGTAAAATATCTGCGAGCGCTTAGCAGCATCTCGTAGAGCCATGGTGTAGGCAAGCGGGAGCGTGGCGGTGCACGACACAGCGTACAGTGTTGTTGTTGCAAGGTGGCAATTCCAAACGAGGATCTGGTGCACCATCGGGGGCGGAGCGCAACACACGTTCTTGCAGCTTTGCCCAAACATCGTTGTCTATAGCACCATTGCACATCTGCTGGAGATGGCAGCATAAAACCCCTGCAGTGCACTGCGCATGTTGAGGTCCAGGAAGACTACTTGAGTGATTTCGCGCCACAGTGCGGCGCCAAGGCCTGACAAGGGAATAGGCAGTGACGCCTTCATGCCATGATCCCTCCCCGGGTCCTGTCAGGATGCAAGAGGTTGTTTTCACATTCCATTAGAATATCATATTTCTTCATTGCTGCATTCTACAGTCCAAGCGGCGTATCGTCATCAGTGCCAGGGTCGAGGAAGGCCGCGCTGGCCTGTTGGGCCTCACCCGGATCGGCGCCGTCGGCTGCAATGTGCTGGCTGTTGGTTGCGGAGCTGAGCAGGGCAGTTGGCGCGGAGACCTCTCCGTCCACATCGCGTCGCTAAGCTTCCAGCAGGTGCTCGAGACGGCCGCCTAGATGGTCCTGGCTGCGCACACAGTCGCCCTTTGTTGCTATAGCATCCATTCCCAGTTGTTACAGCAGACCACCACAACGCGCACCGCAAGTCTTGCACAGAGATCCGGAGGTCTGGGTCGTGGAAAGGTGTCGGTATATGACTCCCTGGGAACTGAACGCCGATGTCGCAGCACAGATCCAGCGGCAATAAGCCCAGGGCGCGGGAGATTTCGGCGCCCTTCTGCGGGAAAATGCGCGCGTTGCCGCACGTATACAGCGGCCGTTCGCGGCCGGGAGGTGTTGCTGCATGTAGGCCCCGAATGCAAACCACGGCCCTGCCTAATTGTAGAACCCCCCGACCCAACCAGTTCAGTTTCTGAATGGGGCTGGTTCGGGCCCGGCCCAAAGACCGTGCGCTCGACAATACGTGCTCAGACATGGTTTGGGCCGGCCGCGTGCGTCGCGATGTGCGAATGCGGTGCGGCACTGCTGACATAAGTTGCAGCATATAACCTGGTTGCGCGAGGAGGCACTGGCACAAGCTGGAGCGTGAAGAAGCCATTTCGTGTGTAGAGGGGCAGGCGCTGGCACCGAATCCAATTCCAAATCCCGTAGAATATTCGCAGCCCAAAGTTGGACACGCTGTAGCCAGGCGTCGGCGCGCTCGCAAGCCAGATGGCAACCGGCAGCGTGCGCCGTCTGACAGGCCTCTTCTGATTCTGCTAAGCGGCGAGGACCACTGAAGTACTTGTTCCAGTATGTCGTGGTGTCTAAGAGTCGGTCCAATTCAGATAGCCAGGATGATCTGTGCGTTGACCAATCCTCTTGCGACCACCCCAACCATGCAGGAACCTGGTCAGTCAAGCCAAGTTGGACAAGTTGCAGTTTGCGCACAGGTTTAGCGCGAGCACAGCCAGCACAGGTCCCATGCGTGACGTCTGGGCCCGTGGCTTGTTGGCGGTAAGCGGCCGAACGATTGCATAAAAGTTGCGGTGTGGTGGGCTTCATGTCTGCCATGGCGTCTTGCAGGATCAATCGTCGGTACTCTCGCGTGCTGAGGGCGTGGACGTCTGCCAGGTGTTGGCCGAGGTTCTGCGGCCACATATCCTCAGATATGTGGCAGAAGCAGATTGGGCAGTAGCACGTCGGCATCCAGTCAGCTTGCACGCGCTGGTATGCGGGCAGGTCATGGGCAGGAGAGGGCCACTGAAGGATATCCATAGCAGGAGGAAGTTCAGGGTAGAGCTGCGTCAACCGCGTCGGCGACGTGCTGGGCAGACTCTTGCGCGACCGTTTGGCGACGGTCAGCTCGGGCGCGCGTGGCAGCGCAGCGGATGCAAAGTTTTCCACAGGCGTCACGCGCCCACGTCGATTTGCAGTCAATACAGCGAAACCCGCCATGGGACGCTTGGAGGCCTTCTTGTCGCCGGTAGCACGCCGGGGATAGCCAGGCCCCAACCAGATTGTGGCAGAGAGCACACATGTAAGCCGTCAGCCGAACGGCGGAAACAGCACACGAACAGCACTCGCAAGCCACCACTGTCTCTTGCTCTTTGAGGGGGCTGCGACACATGTAGCAGCACCGGCCGCCAGCGTGGGCCGCGTTCTCGCAAGATCGGCAGATGTGGACACCTTTGTCGCTCCGCAGGAGGTCGCCGCGGCACAGGAGACAGCATTGGCGAGGTTGACGTCGCACACAGACGGCGCACAGGGCAGCTTCATGGTGAGCACGCTTGCAATGTTCGCACAGCCAGGTGGGATTGGTACAAGTCGTGGACGAACATTCAAGGGTAGAGAGTTCTCCGGTCTTCGATGCACACAAGGAGCAGCTGGCTGGTTTGTCCCTCCCTTGGCGTGCGGACATACAGCGTCGGCAGTAGCGACGGCCCGTCGTTGGATCGGTCGCCTGCGCCAACACTTTTGGCCCGCAATTTCGACAGGTTTGCGCAGAGGCAACGGCAACAACTTTCCTGTGGTAAGCTTCACCTTCTGTGGGAAAGCGCAGCTTAAAGTGTTTCCAACAGTAACCGCGACAGCGACTGCCTCGAGATTCTGTCCTGCATCCTTTGAACTTGCAGGAACCATTCCCTGGCATGTGGATACACAACCTCTGCTTTCGCAAACTAACTTCTGCGCTGCACGCTAGAAGGCATCGAAGGCAAACAGCCGGGTTACGCGGCTATGTGTACATGACATGGGCGTGTCGCCAGGCCGGAGAAATGCGTCGTACATGTTCCATGTTCACCTATTCTTGAGCCAAAGGTTGGACGTGGACGAGATGAATGCAAAAGCACAAAGATCACCTTGCGCTGTCGTCATGAATGCCATCGACCATGTCTGGTTCAACGTGTCATGCTTTCAGACTCCCGCGCTATGCACTGGGAGGTGTCTGGAGCCACCATCAAGAGTAAGGGCGGGCTGTCGTCAAAGATGTCACCCAAACTGTGGGTGTCCAAGTCACAATGCGCAGAAAGTAAGCGAAGGACAACAACAGAGGTCTTCACTACCCTACCATGGCAACAGTCTGGCCAAAGAGCGGGGAGAACGGATCAAGGGTTCTAGACAAGAACCCCCTTATGGAAACAGAGGGACCGAGGTACAGAACCAGGAAGGGCTTGAGAGAAGAACTGGGGAACAGCTCAGCAGTACATCGCTTCATCCAAATGGGCAGTCCCAGGGTCTCAAAACAACGTGCTCAACAACCCGGCCTGGCTGCTGGTCAATTCAAAAGCATTGGAGTACGGGAGGACGTGACCTGCCAGAGCGTGGAGCAGAGACGACAATCACGCCTCCGCGATATAGGACAGAGTGACAACCATAAGTGACACCCGCGCTCGGCGCTAGGTGAGACACAAACGCACCACCCAGAAAACCTACCGCCCAGGAAATGTCACGTGTCTTACGTGTCTTCGGCAGCCTGTTCCCGGCCTGACCGCCAGTCAATCATTGGAGTAGAGAGAATGTGACCTGCCAGAGCGTGGAGTGTCATTGTAGTCACTAGTCCATTTTATGAGAACCCAGCCTAAGCAAGGATGATAACGCCCCATGGATATCGAAGTGGGGTTTTCAGTATGCATCCCAGTGTCTCCTGAAAAGAACGACGGCGAGAAAGTGCAGGACTGCAAAAAAGTCAACGATGGTACGTAACACCCGCGCTCTGCGCTAGGTGAGATACAAACGCCTAGAAAACATACCACCCTACCAGCACGTCCTGTCAGAACTCCAGTCCAGGCCTATAGAAAGAGGCCAACACGAAAGGCATCCGAAATGTTCAGGAGTTTGAGCCGGAGGCGGAGCGAGACCGGCAGAGCGCACGACTGAGTTTCCAACGTATTAAAAATGTAAATAATGAAGACCGACAACACAGCAATAGAAATGAGGAAGGATGAGCTATAATGTGACATCGCACCCACTGGGCCCCAAACAGGGTAGAACACAAGCCTAGTATAAAAGCACCCTTACCTCAACAACCACCGCTGCAACCGCCCAACATATCCTCACGCGACAACCGCAACTAGCACTTGCGCCTCCCTACACCTACACCCCCCCAAGTGCCCCATCGACGTGCGCCCACAAGTTAACGAAACCTCTCAATACCCATTGAACCCCAACAGAACCTCAACATGCACCTCGATACACTCCTACACTCCCCCAACATAGCTCCACACGACATCCAATGGGCCCCAACATCGCCTCTTCCCAGGCGCAACACGACCTCATGACCGCCATGCCTGCCTCCTCCCATCCAATGCCGGCCAGCGCGATTGAACGCCCCAAAACCTCGCCGTGCTCCAAAAGACGGATCCTCTGTAGGTCCCGAAAGTCCCATTGCCAGGGACCCACAAACACACCTCACCGCGCAGTCATATTTCGCATTTCCAACACGCATGCCCCCCCCACCGCCCCTTTAGCGCTTCGCGACACCACAACACGACCCCACCAATGCCGGCCAGCACGATTCAACGCCCCCAAACCTCGCCACGTTCCATTTTTTGCCCGCAAAGCACATCCCCTGTTAGGCGAAAAAAGATGACGGAAAGCGCTGTAGCGCTTGGAAGTATTACCGAAAGGGAAGGGGGGGGGGTGGGGGGGGGCCAAGCTGATGACGGAAAGCGATGAAT